CCCAACCTTGTGGAGGTGGTTCCATTGCCTGTCTACCCCTACCCCCCCTTCCGAGACTACTTATCGGAAATGACAGAATCAATTGAAGGCCGCTTCGGCGAGTGCGGAGGGGTTCAATGACCACCAAACCCACTTCCTCCTACTACCACTCACTCACCGAGCATCCCGACACCGTTTGGTCGCCCATCGGCCCGACAGCCCGGGTCGACGGTTGGAAATGGTGGTTCTGCAAAAGCACCATTTCCTACCATTGGCCTTCCTTGTTGGCTCGGGGCTTCTCCGCCTCCTTTGGGGAGGTCTAGGAGACCTCTCCCAACCTTGTGGAGGTGGTTCCGTTGCCTGTGTACCCCCACCCCCCCTTCTGAGACTACTTATCGGAAATGGCAGAATCACTTGAAGGCCGCTTCGACGAGTGTGGAGGGGTTCAATGACCACCAAACTCACTCCCTCCTACTACCACTCACTCACTGAGCATCCCGACACCGTCTGATCGCCCATCGGCCCGGCGGCCCAGGTTGATGGTTGGGAATGGTGGTTCTGCAAAAGCACCATTTCCTACAGTCGGTCTTCCTTGTTGGTCTGGGGCATCTCTGCCGCCTTTGGGGACGTCTAGGAGACCTCTCCCCACCCCATGGAAGTGGTTCCGTCGCCTGTCTAACCCCGCACCCCCCTTCTGGGACTGCTTCTCGAAAATGGAAGAATCACCTGAAGGCCGCTTCGGCGGGAGCGGAGGGGTTCGATGGCCACAATACCCACTCTTTCCTACTACCACTCACCCACAGAGCATCCCGACACCTTCCGGTCGCCCATTGGCCCGATGGCCCGGGTCGATGGTTGGAAATGGTGGCTCTACAAAAGCATTGTTTCCCACCGTTGGCCTTCCCCGTTCGTCTGGGGCATCTCTGCCTCCTTTGGGGATGTCTAGGAGACCTCTCTCCACTATGTGGAGGTGGTTTTGCCGCTCGTCTATCCCCGCACCCCCCTCTGGGACTACTTCTTGGAAATGGTAGAATCACCCGATAGTTGCTCCAACGGGTGCAAAGGGGTTTGATGGCCACCAAACCCACTCCCTCCTACTACCACTCACCCACCGAGCATCTCGAAACCTTATGGTTTTCCATTGGCCTAAGGGCCCGAGCTGATAGTGGGAAATAGTGGTTTTGCAAAAGAACCATTGCCCACCGTTGGCCTTCTCTGTTGGCCCGAGGCATCTCTGCCTCCTCTGCGGACGTCTAGGAGACCTCTCCCTAGCCTATGGAGGTGGTTCCATTACCCGTCTACCCCTTCATCCCCCTTCGGCATTGCTTCTCGAAAATGACAAAATTACTCAGAGGCTGCTCCAGCGGGTGCGAAGGGGTTCAATGGCCACCAAACCCACTTCATCCTACTGCAACTCACCCACCGAGCATCCCGACACCTTTCGGTCACCCATCGGCCTGATAACCCAAGCCGACGGTGGGAAACGGTGGTTCTGCAAAAGCATCGTTTCCCACTGTCGGCCTTCCCCGTTGTCCCGGGGCATCTTTGCCTCCTCTAGGGATGCCTAGGAGTCCTCTCCCCACCCCGTGGAGGTGGTCCCATTGCCTGTCTACCCCTGCATCCCTCGGGACCATTTCTCAGAAATGGCAGAATCACCCGGAGGCCGCTTCGGCAGGTGCGGAGGGGTTCAATGGCCACCAAACCCACTCCCTCTTATTGGCACTCACCCACCGAGCATCCTGACACCTTCTGGTCACCCATCGACCCAACGGTGGGAAACAGTGGTTTTGCAGAAGCATTGTTTCCCACCGTCGACCTTTTCCGTTGGCCTGAGGCATCTCTACCTCCTCTGGGGACATCTAAGGGACCTCTCCCCACCCCGTGGAGGTGGTTTTGTTGCCTGTCTACCCCCGCACCCCCCTTCCGGGATTGCTTCTCGAAAATGGCAGAGTCACCTGGAGGCCGCTCCAGTGGGTGCGAAGGGGTTCGATGGCCACCAAACCCACTCTCTCCTACTGCCACTCAAGGAATATGGTTTTAAATAAGGAGCATTTTCGTACAAAATTATGTGACGTATACACGGGGTGGAGTTGAAAATAAATGCTGATTTATTAATTGGATTTGACGTGGATTTCAGTTTTTGTATGAGGTTAATGACAATTTTGAATCGAAGGTCTTAAATTCCGATCAGATTTTAGATCAGATTCTGATACACATTTTTACTAAGATGAAACCGATCGGAATCCAATCCAACTACATCCCTATTTTTGAATCGATATTTATCAAATATGCACGTAGAAATTTAAACTCCACTGCTCATGAACTAGCATATAAAACATATAAATATATATTTGTAGATGGCAAATGGTGGCAGCCAAAATGTATTAGATGGTTTGAGCTATGATATCTAATTCCTCTCTCTTTTTTTCGAAAAAAAAAAATGTTCTTTTTAGATGGGTGGAAGAGTTATAACCGGTGTTCAAAAACACCAATTATTGGGTTACTTCATCTAAGCATTGAATAAATACTGGATTTTCTTTTGGCAACAAGAAAGCTTGAACAGAAATTTATAGGTTCATACGTGTACCTTTAATTTACAAGTTGTTTTACAAAATATAAATAATAATTTACAAGCAAATAGCTAAAGAGTAAGTTGTGGGCATCTGAATCATGTATTGAGAGTTTCGCATAACCGGTGTTCAGATCACCAAGTTTTGTTTGGGCATTATGGTCAAAGAATAGAGAGATGGCTGACGTATATCACGTCTGCCGAGTAGAGGGGGCTGCAATGGCATTTTGGTTTTTGTACTGGTTTTTAGCGGTTGGATTTTCAACATTCAGGTGTCAGGATGTTTTATTTTTGTGAAGGGGGTTCAAAGTTTAATATATATATATATATATAAGTCGGTTTGGTTAATTGTTGGTTTTCTGTATTGATTAACTGAAACTGAGTTTTTAAACTAAAACCAATGCATTTGATTAACTAATTTTTCGGTTCGATTTCAGTTGATATTGGATTTTTCGTTTTTTTACTCACCCCTACTCATCTCTTACAATCAAATATTCTTCTCACATAGAATTTAGCAGCACATTGAGAATATTACCCGTGTAATAATTTATAATTCATGGGGAAATGTTCCCAATATACACTGAAATTCCCATGCTTACACCCAACCCTGCATCGAGCACTTCTACGGTTGCCCAAAGTTTGTATATATGAACTAACATGCCATACCAGAGAGTTATTGATATCATAAAATATATGAGACATTGATCTTATAATTAAGACCCATGGGCGTTGAGATCATGTTTGGGAAAGAGGACATTAAAGGGAGGAAAGCTCCTTTAGGTTATGACGAGGGAACCTTCATGGTATTACTGTAAGGGTATGAAAGAGGAGAGAGTTCGGGAGCTGGACAAGCTATCCAAAATGTGAATGAACCGATCGAGCCTACAATCATATGAGTTTGAGTTTGAAAGGAGTCAAAATGCAAATATATAGAGTGTAAAACCTTATATTTTGTATTATTTTGTATGTATTTACGTTGTACATATTTGTATTTGTATTCTTTCTAAATTGAGCATGAACAATTTTAGAGTCCTCGAGGTGTGTTTCTAGAGACCCTCGATTTTAATGTTCAATGCAGATATGAATATTATAAACCTAATGATGCTTCATAAAGTAGGACAATCTCCAAAATTAGAGTTATAAGCAGGCTAGCTAGCTATAGCATGCAAATAAGTGAAGAAGTGAAAGCAGAACTGAAATATTTGGCCGAAAAATGTCTACCCTTTCATAAAATAAACATAGTTTTAACATTAAGTGTTGTCTAATGCCATCGATTTTGAACACATCATTTAACCAATCAATGTTTTCAACCCACCATTGGTTCAAATTGTCACCTGGCCATGATTTTGGATCCAGTTTGATCAAAATTTTGCATTTGACAAACAAAAAACTATTGATTTGATCAAAAATTGTCCAACCCAACCCAGGTGGTTGCATCGGTGACGACTAGACCTGTTCATGGGCCGGGTAGCCCGATGGCCCGGCCCGGTCCAGCCCGCACCCCGGCCAGGCTTGGTCATATAATTAGGCTCGCGGGCCTGACCTCGGTCTTAATACAGTAAGCCCGACTGTGTTTCGGGCCGGGCTCGGGATTTGTCAAAAAAGCCCGGCCCGAGCCCGGCCCGGCCCAACTCA